TCTCTCTCTCTCTCTCTCTCTCTCTCTCTCTCTCTCTCTCTCTCTCTCTCTCTCTCCATCTATCTATCTATCTATCTATCTATCTATCTATATATGGGTGTTTTGCTGGCTTGTGATAGGGTACAGTCTATGGTAGTCTGCTTTGATTTTCGTCACAGGTACCTTGAGGGCAGTGGTTGGTGCCCGTCTCAGGGTATCAGTTGTCGGGCAGTCGTTGATGCCTAACCATAACCGGGGTTAAAGGTGGATTATTGCTTACAGCGCAATCAGTTATAGGGGATTCTGCAGACTGTTGAGGGTTCAGCCTCCTGATGAGTCGGTGAAACTCCGACGAAACAGTTTGCCACAGCCCCTCGTTTGTTGTCCTCTTCTCCCTCCCTCCCTCTCTGCCTATGGATTACCGCGCAGTTCTATTTGACAATATTTATATTCACGATATATTTATTTTATTTATCCTTCCGAACATCCACTAAACAATACAGAGTATATTAGCATGGCCCTTGCACAAGGGGGTAAAAAGACACAAAAACTTGTTAGCGATCGATTGCAGGCAGTCATTCTGCTTAACAAAAACAAATGACAGTTTGCCTGCCTTTATACATTTCGCAATCTCATACAAACCGTATTCATGACAGGTTGCCTGTCCGTAATACCATATTTGGGGCAACTTTCAGGCCAGATGCGTTCATACTGACCGGGCATTCCATCGGGTGAAGAATGTAGTTCCCCCAGCTTTTTCTTTTTTTTTTCTTTTTTTTCTTTTTTTTTTAGTAGTTCCCCCAGCCACCAGTGGGCTGACAGCAAATACGGAGCGAAAAAAAAAGAAAAAGAATCCGAGCGATCCAATCATTGCGTTCGACCAAAAAAAAAAAGAATGAACTTGTGGGTTTACTTGTGAGGCTGTGCCCACCGTAAAAGCTATCTGGTCGCCAAATTTGCCCTAAACCTCATGGTAAACTTTTCAAATCTGCACTAAAAACAAAAAGAGAAAAGACAAGAAAATCAGCAGATTGTCCTCGCCTACACACTTAAGTCACTGCCTCTAACAACATTTTCAAACCCGAGGCCAT